TTAAATAAGAATCCTGGAGGTGAGGCCTAGAGGCCAGGCTTTTTTCTTTCTTTCTTTCTTTCTTTTTTTAAAGCTCCCCAGGTGAGTCTTATGTGCAGCCAGAACTGAAAATCACTCTCAAACATATTACCTTCTGAAGAAATTTTCCAGAAACAATGTAAAATAGTTTACAGCATTTTTCTCCCAGTATTCATTAATATTTTCTGATCAACAATACATGTTTACTGAAGAAGGTTTAGAAAATACAGAAAAGTGTAAGGAAAACAATTAAAATCACTTGTAATATCACCAGCTACAGATAATTACTATTAATATATATATTCTTCGTTTTTGTTCCATTTTCTGTGCACATACACTCAGATATAATAATTTTAGGAAATCGGAATACCTTTGTTTGTACTGTTTTATAGCTTAATTATTCTCTTTATCCTTAAATGTTCTTTGAGAATGGTATTTTAAAGGCTGTGTGGTATTCCATCTTACAGATTTACCATAATTTACCTAACAAAGGCAAATATTGTTACACCTTTGTTTTTTCCAACTTCAGGGAATTATTAATAATTCTGTAAGAAACATTCTTAAACATGCTTGACCTTGCTAAGTCCCTCCAATTACTTCCTTATGAAAAAATCCTAGAGACTGAATTTTTGTCAAAGAATCAATAAAATTCTAAGGCTTTTAATACACATTTCCAAGTTCCCACCAGAAATATTATACAAACTTATGCTTTCACTTGCCATGTATGACAGTGCCCAGTTCTTTGAATCATTCCTAAAACTTGGTGCTACCATTATTTTTATCAATTTGGTAGGATTAAATTCTATTTCTTTTTTTTTTTTTCCTTTTTTTTTTGTCTTTTTTCGTGACCGGTAACGGGATCGCAACCCTCGGTGTCGTGCCCGCACCGCGCTCAACCAGTGAGCGGACCGGTCTCTATACGGGATCCGAACCCTCCGCAGGAGCGCCACCGCACTCCCAAGCGCCACACTCTACTGAGTGCGCCACCGGGCCAGCCCGGATTAAATTCTATTTCTGTTTAATTTACATTTCTTTGCTTATTAAGGTGGCTAACCTTTTTTTTTTTTTCTTCACACATTTACTAAGACTAGGACTCGACACTGGAAACCAGATGCCTCTGGCTTTATGTTTAGATGGATAAAGTCCCTTTTTATCTTAATCAGTTGAAGTTAGGTTCTCTCACTGAAACCTAAAGTATACTAAGCAATATAGTGGGTTTTTTGTTGGTTTTTTGTTTGTTTGTTTGTTTGTTTGTTTGTTTAAAATCCCATATAAAGATGACCAGTAAGGGGATCTTAACCCTTGACTTGGTGTTGTCAGCACCATGTTCACCCAGTGAGCTAACCGGCCATCCCTACATGGGATCCGAACCCGGGGCCTTGGTGTTATCAGCACCACACTCTCCCCAGTGAGCCACGGGCCAGACCTGCAATATAGTGTTTTTAAGTATGCTGAAGTTTTAAAAATTACGTATGGAGGGGACACATCTGGGTGGGAGGGGGGAGAGGGAGGAGGGAGGGAGGTTTTGGTGATGGGACACAATAACTAACTACATTGTATATTGACAAAATAAAAATAAAAATAAATAAATTTGGGAAGATTAAACTGAAAAAAAAATTACGTAGCCATTTCATATGTTTTATGGGTATTTTTCCTTTTATGTTTAGAACCAACAGCAAGATCTCATATTTACCAAAATATTTTTTCCATTTCTTATTGAGTTTACATTTATTTGAATTGAATTCTTTAATCTATCTGAAACTTATTTTGATGAATATTTATTAGGAAGAGTCTATTGCTTTACTCTTTTGTAAAGGTTTAATCAATCACTTGATCAAAATTTATTTAATTCACTCTTTCTTCCATTCCACTGATTGAGTAGTACCTTTACTAGATGTTAAAGTGATCCTCTTAAAACGTAAATTAGAACATTTCAAAGACCTGCTACTGTTAACTTTCCCTTGCACTTATAGAGGGCCTACAAAGTCCTATAAGATCTCACCCCTGCCTCTCTTTGCAACCTCACCTTGCATCACTCTCTCCATTGTTCAGTGTGCTCTAGACATATCCATCTTTGAGTTCTACAACAAACTCTCGTCTGAATACCTTCTAAGCATGCTGACCTCTTTAATTATGCTAGTCTCTCAGCCAAGAATGCTCTTTCTTCCGCTCTTCAAATAAGCTAACTTCTCCGGCAAAATGTTACCTCCTCAGAGAGGCCTTCTCTGACAACAGGTCATATTCATTTATATGTCATTTCAACAGATTGATGGGCATAGTGGGTACCACATAGGTGGAGTTTAATTGCATTTAAAATGTCTTCAAACCAGTTACACTGTGATAAGGCTTTAAACCAAAATGTTATTATGTAAGCAGAGAGCACTGAAACACAGTAACAGAGCAAATACCTTTGTCATTAGTGAAGCAAATGTTCCTCACAGGAGGAACAAATGAATTCCACATTTTGCAAAGGAATTGAGACTTTCGGGACCTAAGGAAGGAAAATACCCACAAGCAGAAGAAACTGTACTATGTTTTGATATTGAGATGTATGCAAAAAGATAGTTGATCTAACATGAAGCAAAAAAGTGCCAACATCAAAACTTACAAATGTAGAGCTGCCTGGTTAGCTAAACTGGTTAGAGCTCCAATCTGTAACAACAAGGTAAGTTTCATTCCTTACTGGTCAGCTAACTCCCCCCTTCCCCCCTCCCCTGAAAATATTAGAAATGGGTGGCAGGACCTTGCAAGAAATTCCAGAGTCAATAGAGCAGCACTCTTGTAAAATGCTGCATCATTAATACCCTTAACGGCAGAGTCTATTTTATGGAAAGACAGCAGTGTCAGCAACTGAGTGGGAAACTCTGAATATGGAGAAATAGTAGAAGTGCCTTAACCAATTTATTTTTCAATGTATGCACAATAGTAATATATGATAAAATTTTAAGTCTAAAAGTTATTTTAATAATTACAAAATGGAAATTCTTTTTCTTTTTTTTTTGTCTTTTTCTTGTGACCGGCAGCACCGAGCTCAGCCAGTGAGCGCACCGGCCATCCCTATATAGGATCCAAACCCGCGGTGGGAGCGCTGCTGCGCTCCCAGCACCGCACTCTCCCAAGTGCGCCACGGGGCCGGCCCCAAAATGGAAATTCTAAGTGATAAAGCATCGTATGACAGTCTGACAGTGTTTTATTTTCTTTCTTAAGCTACATGAAATAATGGTACATCTTACAATTGAAGGTATCTTAAATTTAATGAAATAGATATGTCTAATGGAAATGCCAGAGGGAGAAAATAGAGTGGAAAGAGGAGATATTTGAAGCCATAATGGCTGAAAATATTCTAGACGTAATGAGATAAATGAATCTTCAGTTCCCTGAACAGGATAAATAAAACTAAATCCACACCTAGATACATGGTAGAAAAACTTAAGAATTCAGCAGACCAAGATAAGATATTAAAAGTAACTAAAGGGGCCGGCCCGGTGGCGCACTGCTACAGTGCGCCGCTTGGGAGCGCGGCGGCACTCCCGCCGAGGGTTCGGATCCCACATACAGACCGGTTCCCGCTCACTGGCTGAGCGAGGGGCGGGGGCAACACCTAGGGCTGCGATCCTGTGGCTGGTCCCGGCCCGGTACGGGCACAACACTGAGGGTTGCGATCCGTTGCCGGTCACGAAAAAAGACAAAAAGGAAAAAAAAATAAATAAAAATAAATAAAAGTAACTAAAGAGAAATCCCATACACAGAGCAAAAGGAAAACAACAAGCTAGGGGGGAGTGTGTGTGTGTGTGTGTGTGTGTGTGTGTGTGTGTGTGTGTGTGTGTGTGTGT